TCCATTTTGTCATCCTTCAGGTATTTGAACACTGTTTTCAAATCCTACCTCAGTCTTCTCTTCTCGAAACTAAATAACTCTAGTTCATTTAGCCTTTTCCCATAAGTCCTGCCTCTCAGGCACTAATCATTTTTGTTGCTCTGAACTGGACTCTTTTCAACCTGTCAACATCCTTCTTGAAGTGTAGGGTCCCAAACTGAATATAATCCTCCAGATGAGGCCTCACCAGTGCTGGCTAGATTAGAAGAATCACTTCCCTTGATTTGCAGGTGAGGCTCCTATTGATACAAACCAGTATACTGCTGGCCTTTTTTGCAACAAGAGCACACTGTTGGTTCATATTCAGCTTATGGTCTACTGTAATCCTCTGGACTCTCTCTGCAGTTCTGCAGCCAAGCTAGTCATTCTCCAGTCTGATTTGTACATACACTTACTCCGTCCCAAGTGCAGGACTCTGCACTTGTCCTTTTTGAATCTCATATGGTTGACTGCAGACCATTTCTCCAGTCTATCCAAGTCATTTTGGTCAGTTATTTATTTTGAGAAAGGTAATACAAATATGATGATATATATATCATTGTTCTGTCTTCCAGTTCTGGGAAGTGATAAGCGATGAGCATGGAATTGATATCTCTGGAAACTACCATGGGGATTCTTCAGTGCAGTTGGAAAGAATTAACGTGTACTTCAATGAAGCTGTTTGTAAGTGCTCATCATCTTCATTGGAGTTAGGAGGGGTGGGGTGACAACTGATTATGAAGTAAATACTGAATGGTTAAAATAAAGAAAAGGGGAGGCAGGAGGATTTTCAAAAGCAGCAAAGCACTTAACTACATTGACTTTGAATGACAACTGCACTGCTTTATTGCACTGGTGATTTTGCAGATACTCCCCTGTACCTTTTCTCTTCCCCTTATTGTGCAAATCTGTTCTTACAAGTAAAATGTCCCCCTGAAGTATGTCTCTGTTTTCTGAGTGCAAACTCTGTAGGGGTAGGCCCAATGAAGGTTCCCTGAGGATTTTGTGGTTTGTTCTGATGTCTTGTTAATCTTCTGTAATGATTTGAGTGAATTTAAATTCGGTAGCATGGTTTACATTTAGATCCATTTTATTTTTGTTTCACCCTTTTTCTATAACATGCTGAATTAAATTCTTGGTCTGAGAGGGGCAGCTGATATAAAAGGAGGAGGATTTTGCTAGACTGCCTGCCAGCTTACGCGCACATATTTTCCTTTGTTGTAGCCCATAGGTATGTGCCCCGTTCTATCTTGGTGGATCTGGAACCTGGAACTGTGGATAGCGTACGGTCTAGCAAAATAGGCCCTCTCTTTCGACCTGACAATTTTATTCATGGTATGTACTGTGTGCTGTTAATAAAAATATACAAGTAAATACGAAGTGGCAGGGACACTGCTAAACCCAGATTAGGTTCCCTAAAATCTTAATTTTTGTTTGTAAAGCATCCTTAAATAAATCAAAAACTAGTAGTTCTTCATCCAGGATTCTGCAAGGGTGTTGAGGGGAACAGATTACAATACTTAAAGGCCTTGTCTACGATATTAATAGTATCTCAAATTGTTAAAACAAATATTTTTTTAATTCTGATTTTATCTTTTATTTAAGTCCTTTTTATTTAAATTAATTGAAATGAATAATCACTTTTGCTTATACTCAGTTTAATGTCAGCTAACATAATGCTGCAGTGTTCTGACTGCAAAATGTCTTTGGGAATGTTAAAATACAAAAAAAAATTGGTATTTCAATAAAAATGTTTCATTAAATTGTCTCCACTGTCTTATCAAATTTTATAAAACCTGATTTATACAAACTAAACTTTAGGTATCTTCAGGTGTGAGTGTCTCTTTATTTTCCTATCCAATAATCCCATCTTATTTGCTGGAACTTCCAAAATCCAGGCAGAATTTTTTTTAACACCAGGAAGCCACACTGTTTCAGTCCACATAAAAAAAATTAAAATTACAATGACCGTGAAAAGTTAGAGAGAGAACTTCTGGGTTTTTTTTACAGTTAATTTCAAAGACTAATCTGATTTAGTGATACTAGACAATGACTTTGAGTGTATCAGAAGAACTTCATATTAGATCATACTAATACTGAAAATGGTAGTAAACTTGTATAATTATAGGAATTTAGTGAGCAAATCCAGAACTATACATTAAAATTAAAAAAAAATACTATTGCTTTTTTCCAAATGTGGATATTTGGATCTTTGTTCTCTTTTCATAACTGTGTTCACAAAAAAGGTGAGCACTTTCATGCCATGGGGAAATTTTGCATACATTACTTATTACTAATGGGAACAATTACATTTTTGAGCCATTTTCCTCCGTGTTTTGGGATGGTTATGAGATCCTTTCACCAGACAGTATTTGTGTCTACATTTGATTACCATGTAGCAATATTCTTATTGTTATTTACATTTGCCATGGCAACTTTATAAATGGTTTTCTGTAATTATGCTTACAGGTAACTCAGGTGCTGGCAACAATTGGGCTAAGGGCCACTATACAGAAGGAGCTGAGCTGATTGAGAACGTGATGGATGTGGTCAGGAATGAGTGTGAGAGCTGTGATTGTCTGCAGGGGTTTCAGCTCATCCACTCTCTTGGAGGAGGCACAGGGTCTGGTATGGGCACACTCCTCATCAACAAAATCAAAGAAGAATACCCCGACAGGATTATGAACACCTTCAGCATAGTGCCTTCACCCAAAGTTTCAGATACAGTTGTAGAGCCGTATAATGCCATACTGTCCATCCACCAACTGATAGAGAACACAGATGAAACTTTTTGTATTGACAACGAAGCTCTGTATGACATATGCTTTAGAACCCTGAAGCTCCCCAGTCCCACTTACGGTGATCTTAACCATCTTGTTTCCCTGACTATGAGCGGCCTCACCACCTCTCTCCGTTTTCCTGGTCAGCTCAATGCAGATCTGAGGAAGCTGGCTGTAAACATGGTCCCTTTCCCTCGCCTACACTTCTTTATGCCTGGATTTGCTCCACTGACGGCCCGAGGCAGCCAACAGTACAGAACTCTTTCAGTGCCGGAGCTTACCCAACAAATGTTTGATGCACGGAACATGATGGCAGCCTGTGACCCTCGTCATGGACGATACTTGACTGTAGCATGCATCTATAGAGGACGAATGTCTACCAGAGAAGTGGATGAAGAGTTGCTGGCTATCCAGACTAAGAATAGTAGCTACTTTGTGGAATGGATTCCTAACAATGTAAAAGTGGCAGTGTGTGACGTACCTCCACGTGGCCTGAAGATGGCAGCCACCTTTATAGGCAACAACACAGCTATACAGGAACTTTTCAGGAGAGTTTCTGAACAGTTCGCAGCTATGTTCAAAAGGAAAGCATTTCTCCATTGGTATACTGGTGAAGGCATGGATGAAATGGAGTTTTCTGAAGCGGAAGGCAACACCAATGATTTAGTTTCTGAATACCAACAATACCAGGATGCCACAGCTGATGTAGAGGAATATGAAGAGGTTGAAGTGGAACATGAAGAGGCAGAAGTGAAAACTAGCCAAGAACAGGAAGCAGTAATAGTAACATCAGAAAACTATCCAACAGCAGTCTGAATCCTGATCTTATATAAAGCACCAACAGTTCCTATCCATGCAGCTGAAAGAACTCTTGCAAACTTATCTATTTCTATATTAAACCAAAATAGCATAAACAACATTGATTTTCACTTTGAAATGAACCATTATGTTTTAGCTTTCTAAATAATTGCTGGTACTAAAACTTTCCTGAAAAGAACCTGGAGGGCAAGTTGTAGTGTGTCAGGCTTGCTCAAAAACTTACTTGATTTAAAAATATCGTAGATTCTGAATATAACATAGTGTGTTGTGTGCATCTTTGGAGTGGCAGTGACAACTCATGGACTTGAGTGTTGACATCATAAGCTCTAATTGTTATATTGTTTATTTGTTTTAAGGTAAATGTGGACATAGGTGGTTTTTGTTCAGAAATTTCTGAGCTTTTTAAAGCAATCTTGTGGACCCACCAGGCTATGAAAGCACATCTTTGCCATGCACACCAAGGAGCTGTTTGAGTCAGCTGGTACAGAAAAAAAGTTTACAATGCCTTTTAGGACACTTGCTTGCGGAGTGAAAGGGGAACACCCCTGTTTATGCCTGTGTGTGTGTGTACACCTTTTTTCATATAATGGAGGAGCTTTTGGTTTCACAATCTCTTCTGCATTTCAGTTTTTAATTTCAAAGTTTAGCTTGGTTTATATTAGTAGATTTGTGAGCACTATTTAGGAGTGGTCTTCGGTGGGGGGTTTTCCCATATTTAAATGTATGTCACTTTTTCTTCCTCTTTGGTCCAGTGATATATAGTCGCATGCAGCTGGTTTGAGATGTTAAGCCTATCATAGAGGTCAGTAGTTTATTATATTCAGGATTAAGCTAGAAGCAACAATGCCTCACCTCCAGGGGAAAAAAACATTGCTAGGCAACTGTGTTTTTGCATCTATCCAACTAACACTATTATCTATTTATATTTATAATAGCTACCACTATGGTGTCTAGATATTTTCTAAACCATCCTCACATTTTTATTTTAAAAAGTGGACAGTTTTAGTCAACTAAATTTTACTAACTTGAATAGGCTTTTGTTAAAATGTTTTTTGCCTTGTCTATTAAGTGTTTCATTAAAGGAGAGGTATCTTAAACATTTATTTCTCATAAGTTACAGACAAATCTGAACTTATTTTATGATATACACTATTTAAAATAAAGTCAAGACAAAATTGTTGGCTTTTATTTTTCATAATTTCAAGCTATAATATTGCCACTGGCTAAGGGTTAAAAGATTTTTTTTTCTAGCATATGATGTAAATGTAAATTGTTACTATGCCTAAGGAAAGTCAAGTCAAGTCTGTCTGGAGGCCACTGCGACCATTGGGGCACCTAAGATGCTGAAACAACCCTCCTAGGTTAGTTGAGTTGCTTTTCATCTTTGGTGATTCTTCAGGCAGAATGACCTGGCAGCATGCATCTCCTCTCCAGGTATGGATGGATGTTGGCTTGCAGTGACAAGTCTTGTTTGTAGTCCTGCTGGGTGTCCCCACACCCTCCTCACTCAGGCTAGCCTGGGTGGGGGTGTCAGTTTAGTCACGGACAACCTGAGCCTAGAACAGGCTGTACTGGTTTACATGGTACCAGATAGACCAAGGGGTCTGACCCGACAGGTGTCTAAGGAACCCTTTAAATATCAGATACAACTGAATATTATAACCAACTGATATAACCATACCTCTGTTTTCTTACTGATGTTGATGTACCTACTATACCTATCTAAAACCAAAGGATGCACAGCTGGTCCAAAACACTGATAAGAGCTACCACTGGTTAGCTGAATTCAAAACCTTTTGTAAGCACTTACATTCCAAATAATCACTAGGTTATGTATCCATTTTATATTAGACCATCAGTAGCTAAAATATAAAATTAACTCTGGCAGTAGGGAACTAGAACCCAGGACTCCCCCACCTAAGGGAGAGCCATAATCCGTGGACTACAGCATCACATTCCCTTAGGTGCGTTTCCTTCTGGCCTTCTAAATTTTATATGCTTAGTTATCCAATAAGCCAGCAGATCCAGGGGGAGTTTGACGAAGTGGAGCATTTAGCTTGCTTAACACATATGAGAGGAGGACCTGGAAAGTCAAGTCCAGGTCCTTCTGTAGTAGGTTAGCTGTACACTAGATTGAGGGTTACAGTAGTTAAAAAACCCAAACAAACAACTAGTTGTTTGTGATCTGTTTTACATAAGAAACCTGGACTTTGTTTTAAATAACTGCCTTAAAAACTTGTTATTGTTTTCTTACCTTATTTATACTTTTAAAGCTTTATTTTTTGTATGCAGTTTTTGTTTTTTTTTTCTCTGCAAGTTAATTCAATTGCAGGGGAAGACAGAACCTGCATACTTAGTTGTGGTTTGCTTGCCATCCTGTTCATCATGCTCAGCGCTTTAGTCATGGAAATAAACATATTCTGTGACCCTATATGACTAAATATTAACAATGTGTCATAGCTTTCATGTCCTGTTACTAAATGATTAACTTTGAAGACTCCTGCAACAAAGAGATAAATAACAAGTATGAAAGCCTCAGTGACACTGAATTATTTTAAGATGCTGCTGCAGCATGAAAGCTGAATATTCTGTTTAGCCCATACAAGCTCATCGCTATTTATACTTTCCTACCACAATTTGGCACTAGGTATAATCACAATGAACTCAGAAATTCTGAGTGTTTAGTATATTCTTCACTTAAATAAAGGCGTCATCACATGTGCTGACCATACTCGCCACAATCGATAGGAAAGTCACACTCGAGTTGTGGAGATCTTTTGGTCTGTGCTAGTGCCTATCCCCCAACACCGCTGCTTCCAGCACTTAATTTATGAGCACTTTAGTTGAGCCACAGGGAGGATGACTCTGACACTTGAACTTATGGGACATATTTCATAGACATTAGGGCTGGAAGGGACCCCGGAAGATCATCGAGTCCAGCCCCCCGCCCAAAGGGCAGGAAGTCAGCTGGGGTCATAGGATCCCAGCAAGACAAGCATCCAATTTACTCTTGAAGGTGTTCAATGTAGGTGCTTGAACCACCTCCGATGGCAGGCTGTTTCAGACCTTGGGGGTTTGGACAGTAAAGAATTTCTTTCTTATGTCCAGCCTGAAATGGTCTTGTAGTAGTTTATGACCGTTCAACCTCATCATCCCTTGGGGCGCTCTAGTGAACAAACGTTCCCCCAGATCCTGGTGGTCACCCCTGATAAACTTGTAGGTGGCCATCGGATCACCCCTGAGCCTGCGCTTTTCCAGGCTAAAGAGCCCCATGGCTCTCAGCCTGTCGTTGTAAGGTCTGTTTTCCTGACCTCTGATCATGCGCATGGCTTTTCTCTGCACTCTCTCAAGCTTCTCCACATCCTTTTTGAATTGTGGAGCCCAAAACTGGATGCAATACTCCAGCTGCGGCCTCACCAAGGCCAAGTAAAAGGGGAGAATGACGTCCTGGGATTTGCTTGAGAAGCATCTATGGATGCAAGCCAGCATTTTGGTCGCTTTACTAGCTGCAGCATCGCATATAGTCCCTCCTGTTGTTCTGCTCTTAGATCAATGCCGTGAACACAGTACTGGAGGTTTAATTAAATTACTGTGCTATTAAGGTCACACAGGTCACGTCCACATAAATGTAGATGTTTGGTTCCCCAGGAACAACTAGCAGCAGGACACCTCATGCTGCTGCTAGTTGTCCCTGGAGAACACCTGTGCCACATGCAATATGGCACATGGCAGGTTACCCTGGGTGGGGTAAGGGAGGCTGGGGCCTGCACTGGGCTGGCCCAGCAGCCTTACCTGGAGGCCCCTCTGGGACTGCAGCAGTGGCAATACTGCTGCTTGGAGCCTGGCTGGCAGCTGAAGCATGGCTGTGGCTGGCCATGCTCTGGTTTTGAGCTGAAGAAATACTCAGAGCAGTGCTCAGCCGTTCTGTGCAGTGGGCCAGATGGGCAGCATCTAGTCTCTGTATGGGCCAGAGAACTCAATCCCATGCCTGGGACAGGCCCAGTAGGGCCCCATCTGGCTGTGTGCAGTGTGGCTAGAGGCAGCTCCAGCTGTGCTGGAGAAAGGGGTTCATTCCAGCCCTGCTGGGGTGGGGGAAGAGGATGGCAGCATGATTTAGGCTTAGCCCTAAGGGGGTGGGAGAGAAAGGGGTGTGCATTGACTCTGAACTAGCTGTGTAGGAGGGAGCATAGCCCAGCCCCGACCTGGCTGTGTTGGGGGGAGGGTTGTGGCCCAACTTCAACCCAGATAGCAGCTTGAGAACTTGGCAGTGGGGAAGGATAGCAATATTAACTGCTCCTGCTCCCCTACCCTAAGATTTCCTGAGCCCCCTGGGCCACATTTAAGCACCCCTGCTCTAGAGAAAAAAAGTGATGTAGCCACAGTGGTCCTGGAATTATGCATGAGGCCAAGATTTCTTGATCCAATAAAAGTTATTGCTCTAACTTCATAGTTTGGGTAGACAGGCTTTCACATGTAAGATATTTTTCTTTAAGACCTGAAGACCTGCTGCTTGCAGTAAAAAAAAAAAAAAGTCTACCAACTTAAGGAAACTGATGCCCAAGGAAGAACAACTTGCATTTGAAAGCTTCTCTAACTGTAATCGCAACTGCAGAGTTAATTTGGTTGAAGATATCACCCTAAGAAATCCTTGCCTTTAAAGAAAGACAGCCTATTAATACCGACCCCAGAAACACAAACTCTTAGTACTAATGAACTTCCTCCCAAACCTCCTTGAACAGCCCCAAAACACTGCAATTTAAAAGCTACCTCACCCCAACCCAATATTTGAATGTTAGCCTACAAAGATTGGGAAGTGAGGTTTACCAATGCCTCAGGATTGGAAATATCACAATTAATATTCCAGCCAGCAAGTCAGTGTTTCTTGCAATATTAAGAAGTTAAAAGCTTTTAGGCAGATACAGTTCAAGTTGACTGTGCAAGTTTTGTGGCAGCACATTCCTTTCCACAGGCCAGTTATGCCTGGACTATTATATTTTGCAAAACCAGTTGGTCTGAATACAGGACACCTTTCTGCTAAGCAAAGGCCCTGAGTATTAGTCAGCAATACCAGGGTTGTTCTTGTGCTTTCTGGCCCAGTAAGTTTGGATTCACTTTCAATGAGGTGGGTTCACAAAGCCTACCAGCCATTCTCCTTTCAGGAGTGGTAGGAAAAACAAGAGGAAAAAGCAGACAAACAGAACCCCTTTCCACCCTCCCCGCCACAAAAAAGCTACCATGGGTACAGGTTTCCTTTGCTTTATGTAGGTTTGGTATGTGCAAATTGACTCTTATGTGATGACCCTTTTTTTATACCAAAACTCTGTTATATGCGAGGTAAATTCACTCTTATGCAATTGGTGTGGTGGAAGCCTGCAGTTGGCTTTGGGCAGTGCATTGTGGGAGTCATGCACACCAAAATATAGTCTGTGTGGATTTGCACTCCTTGCTCATTGTCTGTGATGCGTTTCTGTAGTTGCCATGCCCATTACGACAGGGCCCTGCGCTGCTGTTGACAAGTACCAGAATTGCCCTGCAAGATGTGGTAGAAGTGGGGCTGGTGGTCAGTAAAGGCGAGGTCTCAGAACGTATCCCTGTTTGTTGCACTGTAAAGTGGGTTCCCTTGGCACGAGTTCAAGCCACGTGCCGTTTTCCTGGAACGCACGCGCCGCGCAAAGCGAGGGAAATACATCCAAATCTTGTTTTCTTTCACTTTAAAATAAAATGAAAATACCTCTAGTATAGAGAAGGGTGGGGGGGGGAAAGAGACTCAGCTTTCCCCAAATAAATCACAACCGTTATACTGACACATCATTTTCTTTATTGGCATGATCCTTTACATGGACAGCCAGACTTTACAGCAAGCTTAGAAAAAAAGTTACACCGTGCTCCTGTGGATCGGCGAACTTAACTCCACGTCACGTTTTGTCCGTCTGGTCGTCACCACAGGTCAGTTCCTATAGGAAATAATAATACAAAAAAAGAATGCGAAGCATGTGAATAAAAGTTTCTCCACGCGAGGAACAGGTCGCTCGCCTTTATGAGCCGTGTTTTCAAACTAAACCCGGCCTTTTGATCTCCCAAACCTCGTGCTCCTGCTGCTCGACCTTTTTTTAGTGTCAGTTGAGGAGCCTCCCTGCCCAAAGCCTAAATCCCTTCCTCCTCCTGCCACAGCTGCTCACGCGCGCTCCCCACCACAGGCGTCTCCTCCCCCCTGGGGCAGCACCCGCGGCCCCGCACTCACTATTTACTCTTTCTTGGGCTTCACGATCTTTACGTTGGCAGCCGCCGCCCGCTCCGCCTCGTCCCGGAACTGCGGCTTCATGGCGGCCCGCACGGCGCGGGCGCAGATCTGCGAGAACCGGATGTAGCTGCAACGAAGCCACCGGCCGGCATCAGTCCCCCGTACCGCGGTCTCTCCCCACCCTCCCCTGCCCTGCCCCACTACCTGATCCCGGCCTGTCGCCAGTACGACACCATGGCTGCGGCTACGGCCCGCAAGGTCAGTGCGACTGGCAAGGCCGCACTCAGCAAGAAGCGTCGACCAATCGTCAGGTAAGAACCACCCCCACCTGCCAATCACTGCTTACACTACCTCAGTTAGACCCGCCAATCGCCGCTAAGTAGCTGCCTCAGGCCCATCGCAACCAATCAGAACGCCGAGGCTGTCCGGCCAATCAAAGTGCCGCGGCGCTGGGCGGGAAAGGCGCTGCAGCCATTTAGAGTGCCACATGGGCTGGGCGCGGAAGGCGCTGTAGCCAATTAGAGTGCCGTGTATCTGGGCCTGGAAGGCGGTGCAGCGAATCAACGTCTCTTGCCTGGAGCGGAAGGTGCGGCGTGCTGAGGCGGGGTGGAAGCCTGTAGTCGTTCGCTTCTTTCCCCACACGGGTCGTTCAGTTCAGCTCTCCCCACAGCTCAGGGGCGTAGTTGAAGCAATCTCCGTTTCCTGTGGGTCTGTGCTGTGGTGCTTCTCACCCTCCTCACACCTGAGGCAATTGGCGAGGCATGCGTAAGGGGTGCATACGGGTGCACGTGCAGCCCCTGAGATTGGCCGTGACCCCCTGGGAGAAGCGACACCCCACCTCCCCCCACCTTGGAGACCCACCACAGTATTAGGAGGCACTGGTCCCCCATTAGTGTGGCCTTCAGGCAGGGCAAACCGAGGGACTGCCCGGGGCCCCGCACTGGCCATGGCCTCGTGCCCTGTGAGGAATTCGCGTGGTGATGGGTCAACACAGGTGATGCAATGAACCTAGAATATTGCTCAGTGTTAAAAAAACCCCCTTTTTTTTCTTCAACTTGTTAATAACTTTGTTCTTTCTTCAATGTAAGGGGCCCCCAAAGGACTCTGGCACAGGCCCTAAGGCCCCCTGCTCTGTTAGGGGTGGGGTGGCTGTCACAGAGGATGTTTCGGTTTTCTGCTCCTCTGTTCTCTATGGATACAAAACCTGGCACCTTTATGTCCTCTAAAATTGGAAAAAAAATTCTCCTCAAGAGTAAAATAGAGGACATAAAGGCATCTGGTTTTGTATCCATAGAGGACAGAGGACAACCGGACTGTCCTCTGTGATGGCCGCCCTATCCAGGGGCCCGTTGGACAACGCCAGCTCTCAGTTTGCATTAGTTTTTTGGAGTATAGAAAAATGATAGAACAGTTTTGCTGCTGCAAAGAATACAACAGATCAGAAAGCTTTTCATGCCTTGAATCCCTATTTGAAATCTCTGGGTTTCTCTTGTGAACGGTGCTAACATGCTAGCAACAATCTTGAAAGGATCCCAATGCACCCCAGGATGCCAGCTTGAAAATCATTGCTTTACTGTTAAATAATTATTGGGCTAGTTGGTGGAATATTTTTTCCAAAAAAAAATTGCTTGTAATCCAGTATTTTTTTTTTAAATAGGCGCATCATGTTTAACAGCTAGCTGCCCCAGTAATGTGGCTATGGCACAGTCAACATTTGATTTAAAAACCTGCTTGTCATGTAATGAAGCTGTTTTCCCAAATGATTAAGTGCTATTACTTTTGCCTAAAGGCTGTTCAGCGTGTGATTTGAAACCTTTTTCAAAATGCACTCGTCAGGAGTGTACTTCAAGCTTTTGCTGTTGAAGAAATGAATGACAGGAGTGTCAGACTGAAGAAAAGGGATTTCTGCTCCAGCTCAGCCAGTGAATCCTTTGGCTACATGCGATGTCTTTCCAGGGTCTTGGTAAGTAAGAGAGCTCACTCTGTACTTAAAAGCTGTATAGTACATCTCCACAGGCAGACAAGGTTCTTTGGGTGAATCTGATATCTTTTATTTGACCAACTTAAACAGTTGCAAAAAAATGTTCTTAGCAAGCTTTCAGGTGTAAAAACCCTTCGTTGTGCTGAGGAAGCATGTGCAGTTGGTGTGTGCTCTTCCTGGGTGTCCTTAGACCAGTGGTTCCCAACCTTTTTTGGCCATGACCTGCTGCTGGGAGTGGAGTGTGGTGGCAGCAGCAGCAACAGCAGCGGTGGCCTGGTGGTAGGGGAGCTCCCGGCATGCAGCGCTGCTGGCATTGCCCCCGTGACCCTCATTTGGATTGCGACCACTGCCTTAGACCAACACGGCTACAACCCCTACATCTCCATGGCACATGTAAGCTAGCTTTGCTAGCAGCAGTCTGGTAGCATGGAGCTTTCTGCAGTTAATTTGTCCTGATTGAAAGTGAAGTAAGTAAAACAACCCAGACAGAGCTCCATGGTACCTCTGCTAGACTGCTGCTTGTGCCCAAGCCAGCTCTAACCATGACTCCTTTCATATTTTTACCCTGTGCTGCAATATGTGGCATCTTGAATGTGTCTTATTACCTCCATGGTACAAAGCAGTTTCAAATATGGGCTACAGTAGTTTGATGATTCTTCTGATTGGTTCCACTGTGGGTTGGGAAGTGACTGACTTCCAGCGGTTGTGCAGCCACAGGAGAATTTTTGTATTGTAGCAGGTGTTTTGTATTGTGGGGTATTTGGATGGCTCTTTCAGATGTTCAATCTGTTTCTCTACTGGAGTGTCCTTGTTGCATAAAGGAAGATTTTAGACTGGGCAGGTAGGCATCATTAATGTTCTCAATGCAGTGGTGGTATCTGAGGGCCTGACTGTAGATTATTGGTATTCTTGGGATGATTGCTGGCTTTGTGGACACAAGTATGGTGGTCCATGGCTTTTTATGTAGCCTATCCTCTTGCATAATTTCCTGAACCATAACAACTACATCATCACTCTAACACTACCAAAGATCCTTAAGATGGATTTAGGTACTTGGATGTAGATCTAAGGGTTGTAAAATATTTCTGTAAAGTATTATGCTTAAGGACTAGGTAGGGGATCCTTTTGAAAGTATAATTATACTCATGCCAGCAATTCTGGTTGACATACATTTCAAGTTTTAGTAAAGAATGACAAAATAAACTTTCTGCCTAATGGAATTTATGTATGGAAAAATCAAGGGAAATTCCAGATTAATGAAGAAAAGCACTTAACTAGGAATCAAAAAAAGACACATTCTGTTAAGTTAAATAAACTTAACAGCTGTCCCAAGCAAAATGACAGAACAAATACAAAAAGTGAAAAAGAGCAATAAAGCTGCTTAAGTTTATAAAGGAAGATTCAGCCTGAAAAATCTTGCTTGTTTTTTGGGATTAAGAAATAGCTGAAGCATACTAGATGTGGTTTGCTCATTTTTACTGGATACACCTGAATTATTCAACCAATGATAATTATGTCTAACGGCTACTACTCTAGTAGTGGATGAGCATGGGTACAGGCATGCCATGTTGCATATCCCAGTGTTGCATAGGGAAAACGACAAAAGATGTTTCCAGTTAGATAACATTGTACCTTCTTCTTAGAAAGAAGAAAAAATCAGATGTACTAGGGTTTCAGGTTCTGTAATCAATGAGTGAACATGCTGTAATTCTATGATTAAGAAATGTGATGTGTTTAAGATTTAGATATTTTAATGTATGAAACTTAAGGGTATACAAGAAATAGTTTAAATATTTTAAACATATTAAAATGTATGCGATAGTCTGGCTAAATGAGATCAGGGCAGTAACTGTTCTTGTTGCAAGGAGCTTTGTTCCTGACTGGTGGAAATAAAAACAAGATGCTGCTCTCCTGATAGGAACCAAGTGTTTGGGTAGGAAGCAAAAGTCTGCATGCTGTTTTTCCTGCTTCACACCCCTGGGAACCAGGATTGGAGCCTGGAAAAAGGCTCCTCTGCTTTCCTGAGACCTCTCCTGCCTGCTTCCCTTTGTCCCACCTCGCCTCTCCCAGAATCATTTCTAGGAGTGGAAATTTTCCACTCCTAGAAACGTGTGTTTGTACTTGGCCCTAGATTTACTGTCTAAACCTCAAGGGCTCTATTTTAGTGTTTTGGGGCCCCCTTATGGTGGGAAGTTGTTGATGCATAAATGGCTGTAGTGAGTGGGGAGAGACTTCCAGATTGATGGTGGCATCTGCCTTCCAATTTGAAATTGCTTCAAAGGACCTCTAGTGTGCTACTTCCTCAAGGGACTGAGGCAAGCGTATTGGTGTATTTGCTTGTTTTTGTGGGTTTTTTATAGGAAATATAATAGTGGGGTGGACTGATGCATTTCCTTTGGGGGGGGTTTTGTGTCTGGGTTTGTTAGCTATCTGATTAGTTTGGAAGATGTCTCAGTAAGGGGGAGAATCTGGCTGTGGGAATTGGGGGTTTCTGCCCTTGTGTCCAGGAGATTCCTCCTGGGATGAATATTTTGTTTGATGAAACAGGTTTTCATATGATCTGGTCCTTGCCTGGAGGCACTGAAGAAGCGACAATCTTTTCCTATCCTAACTTACCAGTGCTGGATGCTTCTACTTCAGTTGTGTCAGAATGTAAATGGACCAATACAAGGGCCAAGCAAGAAGATCCTGATGTGGCCAACATGGTCCAGGCAAACGCAAAGAATTTATAGTTTCTGCTGAACCCTCAGGGATTGTGTACTACTGGAGGCAAGACTTTGTTCTGATCTCCTGCAGCCTGGCATACTAGAAAAGATGAGCGAGTATTCTGCTGTGCCCTGCTACAGCAATCTATTATTCATCTTTCTTCCTCTCCTTGGATCTCAGTGTTTCCTTGCCAGCTGAGCTTTATGAGTTGTCTAACTGTCCAACTCCAGCAAACCTCTGCTGTTGAGCTAAGTCTGTGGTGTCCATGTCAAAAAGTGTAAGCAATGAATTAGTAGTGGTTGATGGGGTAGCAGATTTGCTGATGCAATGTGATGTCTCTATGCCTGCGAAGTGAAGAAGGTACTAATTCACCTTCACAGCTGGCCCATGGAGGGAGAATAGTTGGAATGACCATTGCTAGAGTTGCAGGAGAGTGAAGGAAGTTGGAGTTAGTTAAAGAAAGGAACAGCACAGCTATACAAAGCCAGGGATTTTATTTCTAGCACCTCCTTTTCAGAACATAATAATTTACCCCTCCCCAGAACAGAAGATTTATAGCTCTTCCTTGATCTCTTGGATCTGGTCTTTAGGACAATTC